TATTCGTCTGGTTTGTATGATTATTCGTGCATTTTGCATGTGTATATTTATCTAATGATTTCTCTCGTTTATATAAAGAATGTCATAAAAACAAAGATATATACTAGAAGATATGTTTTGCATAAGATATTATAACAGTCATATGCATTTAATAGAATATATGATCTCACCATATAAAAGACTGGCTGATTATGTACTTTGACCCTAGCTTGCTAAATTAAAGCTTCAATCGTAAATACTATTTCTTCAGTGTCGTTAAGGTCTCCTAGCCAATTACATCATGTCCGACACCGTAAGCCCAGTTAAATATTTTTTAAGTGGAGGTTTTGGCGGAGTATGTACAGTATTGGCAGGTCACCCTTTGGACACCATTAAAGTAAGTACATTTAAATCTTATTTGTCTTGTTGAGTCAACTCATCTTGTATATCCCTACTTTTTTATTTTATTTAATTTAAATACAATTTACTTTTAATTGTAAGATTTATAAGAATATTATATTGTAAGTACTACTTCCAACTGAAACATTATTTTTCATAACACTAATTTCATTTGCAGTAAATTGCAGATAGTTAATAATAAATAATAGTAAGAATTCAAAACTTTTAATTAATTAAAATGTTTAATTAAAAATAATCATTTGTTGATAGTACTTGATAATACTTGATATTTCACACTGGTTAAGTTATATTCTACTTTTGAAAAAAGTATTTATATAAAAGTATATAAAAGTTTTGTTGAAAAAAGAATTTATATATGTGTATATAAAAAGAAATTATTATATATAGGTACGGCTACAAACAATGACTGTACCAGGACCTAATGAATTGCCTCTGTATTCTGGTACATGGGATTGTGCTAAAAAAACTGTCTCCAAAGAAGGAGTACGTGGCTTATATAAGGGTACTTATGTCTCTATGTATTAGATGCGTAAAAATTTGTATATATTAATCTTATATGTATTAACATTAAATATAAAGATATTAATGTATAGAGACAATCATTTTATAAGAACTTTTACAAAGGCAAATCAATCAACTTTCAGTATTTATAAGATTATTTGTATTATGTAACTGGTGATGTGTGTTAGCAGACAGTATATGCTGACTAAGTATTTAACAGATATCAATAGCGATAAAGTTTCTATAGTTATATGTGAAATATGCTTATAAATTTATATTTATAATGTAGAAACTTTTACAAGGAAGAAATCTATTAATAATAAAAAAATAATGTTTTATAATAATATTTAGAATCTGTATACTTTTCTCATTCAGGTATGGCTGCACCGTTATGTGGTGTTGCGCCAATATTTGCAATAAGTTTTTTTGGATATGGTGTTGGTAAAAGACTGCAACAGAGCTCTCTAGATGAGAAGCTCATGACAATACAATTATTTTATGCTGGCGCTTTTAGCGGAATATTTACGACTGTTATAATGGCACCTGGAGAACGTATTAAATGTCTATTACAAATACAACATGCAGATGCTAAACCAAAATATAAAGGACCTCTAGATTGCGCAAAACAATTATATCGAGAAGGAGGCATCAAAAGTATATACAAGGGCACATGTGCTACATTATTAAGAGGTATGTTTTAATAATTAAAATTTTGTGATGTTATCCTTATAGATAAATGTTTAGATAAACTTACTCACTTTCAATCATTTTCATTTTGAAATATGTTATAAAGAATATAATTCTGAGACACTTTTCCTGATACAACTATATGGCGGTCGCTTATAGTAGTTTCCGAAATATTTGACTTTAAAATATTAGATGGGAGTTAATGTTTATCGTCATGGTAAAATTGCAATTTAGGGAAGTGAACTCCAATTGCCTTGATCTTAATATATGTTATAGAGGTCAATCTCCTAAGTAAGCTTTTAGTCGTCGCTCCTTAAAAAGTTATTAATAAAAGAAGTTAAAATAAATATAATTTTTGGACACCGTATATACAAAAACATCGAGTTTGTAAGCTAGGAAGGTGCCTACTTTGTGTCTACCGTGTGACTGGGGGGCTACGAGCCTTTCACCGAGCAGGGGGGGGTCTCCTGTGAAAAGTTCTCATTCTTTAGAAGACATCTTATTTTAATAAAATGTCTAAGGTGTACATTTCATATGTACACTCAGTTGCATTGATGCTATACCATTCACCAGATTAATAATCACTAGAAAATTTTGACCAGCCGTGTCCATGACCATATATGTTAATAATAATTTAATAATTATATATATTAACGTGTTAATAATAATTTAATAATTCTATATATTAACTTTTTACTTACCTTTTCTTAACATTCTTTCTTCTACTGATTGTGCATTACACGTGAGCGGATAACCTTTTGATAAAAACACGTATGTACGAAACGTCAAACTGTCAAAATGTCACTTTGACACATGTCTGTTTTGACATTCCCGCTTGTCGGATAAATCCACAGTCATGAAAAACGATCAACTAGAAACGGACATGGCTGGTCAAAACTTTCTATATGACTATTGAATGACTGATGAATAGTATAGCATTAATGCAACTGAGTATACTACAATGTGAAGAAACTATACCATATTTGCGAAACTTCTTTTGTTTATAACTGAGCTTAAGGCGATGCTGAAGTGGATGACGAACTCGCTAAGCATCGATAACGTAGAGGCGATCGTCAAAAAGTAGAAAACGTTATCATTATTTATCGACGTTACCGATTTTATGTATATATCGATACATATAGATATTTATCAAGTAAAGACGATCGTCAAATAGGCGCTGACATAATGTTGCTATTTTCTTTTTTTCATATATGCATCATTTCTACATATAGATATATGAATGTAAGTCTATGTGCTACGTTATCATTTCAATTTTGTTAAACATAGACGTTACGTAAATGTGAATGCTACGTTGCCGATATTCGCATTCTCTCCGAAATAGGCTTTCGCTGCTTTTCTGATGAATTCTTCAAACCGCTTGTGTACTGGGTGAATCAAAGAGTTTTTTAGAGAAGTATGTTGTATGCATAAATGTAGTTTACGAATATTGTTTTGAAGAATATGTTATTTAATATGTAAGCTTTCTATATAATTTGCAATGGAAATTAAAATTCAATATTTCACTATATATTCGCACCTATTTTTATCATATAAATTGGTGCAGTAATTGCGCTGTAATTTTTGCAAAAGGAAATCAGTGTCACGATGGTAATAGTTCCACATCGTTTTCATTTCTGAGTGAGGAATAATCTACTTTATTTTTGCATGTACTTTCACCATACAAAAGCATTTTCGGTCAAGTCAATACAAAGTAATATTTGTAGCAAAATTTCGTTGACGTGATATCGACACCCTTGCAAAACTTTCGTCGTGCTGATTATACTAAATCAAAAACCCTTTGACATGGTGAAAGTACGTGCAAAAATAAAG